TATGCCTTTATAATACGTTAGATATTTTTGGATGTGCGTTAACTGCATTTTTCCTCATTTTGAAAACAGATAACTTTATGCAAACGCTCGAAAAGAAATATATAAAAACCTTGATCAATCAGAGCAATGCTTTCAAGGAGAGGGGGGGGGGAGATTATGAATTGTCAGATTTAGCGGCATAAATAATGACTTGGAAAGGGCAAAGAGGAAGGAATAGCGATCACATTTTTATATCGTATTGCGAGATAGTACTTGCTAATTCAGTTACATGGTACTTTTCAATGTCACATGTTATGTACTTTTTCTTTTCGATATTAAATTACCTAAGAAACACAAAAATGTTAACACTAAAGATTCATTCTATTCGCATGCAGCTACGACCAACCAGCACTCCACAACAAAACAATGCTAATGAAGAGAAGAAAAGTGCTGCATACAGAATCTGCAAAGTGTTTCAAGGGCGAAATAGTTTCTTTGTAACATTAAATCAGGATATACTTTTTAAATTACAGGAGAAATTTTAAATTTGTTAAATTATACCAAAGGTGTCCATTTCTTAGTTTTTGCCAATGGTATACATCTTTCATATGTAATCCCCGTTTCCATAGCAGTGCAACATTAATCGCGCATTTTACATAAAATGTATTGCTTCACCAATGGCAGTGAATACTGGTAGTTTGATCGGTGGCTTGGCAAATGCGGTCGAGAGCAGGAGACTGACGTTAATTACGGAAGGGGAAAGTAAACGGCTGTGTCAAGGATCATAAGGGGTGATATATTTAAAAAAAAGTGTTTTTAGGTCTCATTCAGTATCAGTATATCAGAAATAAATGATGCACATGGTATCAAAATGGAGACAAATTACATAAGATACGAAAAGTTATATTTATTTGTTTAAACATTTCTTATTACATTGTTTTCGTTCAGGAATTCCTTTCACCCCCTCTGAGCATACAAACAGGTTACATGTAAGTCGGCTGAAAAGCACTGCTTAAACATAATCAACCATATTCATTTGACAGGTTTATTAATACTAATTGTTTACGGAAGCATCCTAGTTTTGAAAAGCTTCGTATCATCTAACATAAAATTAATTAATTAATCATCTTAAGAAGATGTGTTGAATATGGCAAAAATATGAGGGTTGGCTAGGCATGATTTCATGGAGAATTTTCTAAGAAAATGGGCTCATATTTTACATACTTTAACTTTAAGATTATAATATTGATAACATTCCTATAACTCTTCTAATTGAGGCTTTCTAAGAGCAACCCTTAATTTTGACTCGCAGCTTTTAATTTAACTAAAAATGAGCATAGAATCTACCTTAAACAATGGGATTTGTTTTAAAACACGTGACATGAGAATGCCTATAATAATATTTTTAGCGTCGCTAAGAATCATTTCTGGATTCTCATATTAATTTTTTCCAAGATATAAAAGCTGCATTGACAAGTATGAGCAGGCATAATACATACATATATAACGTAAGCCACACCATAAAGAAAAATGAACCCCAACAAAAGCTGATCGACTGCTATTGAACTCTAAAGAGGGGTTTATCAGAGGAAAATGGAATTTAAAAAAATTAAATTCATTTAATTGATTTTAATTATTTATTTACTGTATCGATTTATTACTTATTGTAATGGGGAATATTTCAATATAATTAGCTATTTAAGAAAATATTATTGACTGGGAATAGGCAAAAAACATTTTTTTGAATATCTGCTTTCTTATAGAATGCAGATGAATTCCTTTTTTACTCAACGAAAATCAAATTTAGTAGCTAATTAATCTGTCTGTATCGACCACTTTAGTTCAGTGAGTCGTATTAATGTGCGCTTTTTTTTTTTAATTAAATGCTTAAGAAAATTAATTAGAAAAAGGCATTCTCTTCTTTACCCTTAAATCTTCAATAAAAAACTGCATTTTCAGCTAAACCAAGCGAAATAATTCTAAATATAATTCAAAGCATGAAAAATAAGGTACATAAACAGCTTGGAAATGGAACTAGCTTGAGATTCTCTTTAAGAAATAGGTGAAGCTTAACAAAAAGTCTACGAAGTGGAGTAATTCCGTAGAATATTTTCTAACTCTTTATGTAAATTGCACTCAATTATGCTTATAAACGACAGTAAATCTATTAATGTATATGTGTGGATGTGTGTGGCTCCTAGCGGTGAGCTGTAAAGTCGTGAACTCTGGCAGGTCGATCGGGGTTCGAATCCGAATCGACGGGGATGGCTTGTATTGGCGTTTTCGAGGTTTTCCCCAGTGTAACGTGCATAGAAGTCGTTTTGCTTAGAAAGTTCTCCACGAGGCACCCTTACCTTAGGCAAATAACCGTCGAATGCTTTGCTATAATCAAACAAACAAGACAAACAATAGATATATAAAAGTAGCTTAAAACTGCTACCTTTTATGTATACTCTTAAGTAGTATTTCAATATATATAATGATTAAAAGAAAGGAAAAGTCGGTCCTAAACTGTTGTATAATGTTCCCTATGAAGGCCCTAACAATTCTTTCTCACTTAAAGTGTAACCCAAAAAGAGACAAATTAAACTTCGATATACAATACTGAATAATACAAAAATTACAGAATATAAAATAAATTATATATGTACGAAACCTAATAACTATTTATATTGATATTACGTAAATATACGTATGGTAATGAACATTGTATAATAAAGATATTTTATACCTTGTTCTATAGTGGTTCCATTTATATATACCTATGCATAGATATATATAATTTAAGGATTATAGTAGTAGTTAATAATACTACTACATATAAAACACAAAAGTGCATCCATAATGTATCTTTTAGTATTATTTAACTTAATTCTTAAGGATTTTCTGTAGTCTAGTTTGCGTTATTTTATTCATAAGTCTGAAATAAAAACAACTGCTGTTTATACGTCATTAGAAAATTAAGCAAAAAGCAGCGACCACAATGTAATTGAGAAACAGTCCTTAGCCGTGAAAAGGTGGAAGCCATTCGGTTATGACTATTATCTCACCATACTCAGCTACTCGCATACATGGAACATAGCATTTCGAAATGAAACTCAATATTTACTACAAATTCCTTCGTTGTAACAAATATCTGTCTTCACACCTAGGCTTTAAAAAAAGATGTTTATTTCTTTACAGTTATCGTTAAGTAATACATTTTCTTGTACAATGCATCATTCGAAGATTCAATTTGTATTTTCCTGTGTATAAAACTGAAAGTAGAGAAGTTAGATGTTTAAACAACCCTCGCATTTTCTCAAGATCCCTAGCGAGTTGTCCGCTCCTTGTCAGCTCTCCCTCTGAAAAAAGGGATTGTAAATTTATGACCTGACCGCAAATGAGGGTATTTCGTTTGATCTGGGTTCGAAACCAGGCGAACGGGCTAGCTTGAATGCGAGTTTTTCGTGATTTCCCCCATCTGCAACGTGAAATAGAGACAGATTTGCTCAGAAAGCCATCCGCGATGGCGTTCCTTCCCTTAGGCAGAGTGTCCTCGAGTGCTTTGCCATATCGAACTAACCTAACCTTAATCATAGATATTATTAAATTACTTATTACTAATATTTTAAATTAATTTACATATTACCAGTATTTTGAAACTGTGATTAGTTTGCACTATACCAGTTTACAGGATGCACCTCTAGAGTAAAATTTATATTTTACAGAGCTGAATCATAAGCATTAAACTCATAAAGTCGCACTGAACGGTTTAGTGCAATGGCTCTCAACCTTTATTGTGCTCCATGAACCGCTTTCACCATTGTTAGACGATCGTGCCTTTTCCAAAAGTCGAAATATATATAAATTTTATGAGACTTTTAAAATAAATTCGCTTTGAAAAGAGCGTTAGATTAATTTAAAGTGGTTTAAAGTCTCAGGGAAGTTAGTGGAACGAAACATGCTTTTCGTCAGTCTTTAATCAACTTCGTTTAAGGCTTAAACACTTTTTCCTTGACAAGTTCTGTTTGAAGTGCTAAACTAAGGAGATTAGAATAAAAAATATTTTTTATTGTTTTGGTTTTAATATGTACAAATTTCCCGTTTTTTTATATATTTTCCACTTTGAAGTGTACATTTTTTATTACCATTTTGTAATTTTCTTTAATTTGCGTTTTTCCAGTTTATATTGTAACTCGGAGAAAATAGGATTAACTTTCAAACAATTTTATACGACATTTTCTTTTTCGTTCCAGTCTTGAGATTTTATGATTTATATATATATATATATATAATATATAGTGGGATGCCTCCGTGGAGGACTTTCTAAGGGAAACTGGCTCGTATACACGTTACACATGGGGAAAACCACGAAAACACCCATGCAGCCAGGGATTCGAACCTCCAATCCTGAGTAAGACTTGGTTGTTATGTGAGTTCTTCTCTCCCCCTTCTCACGGATGTAATATCTGTCGGCCTCTCTAATGCATTTTAGGCAACGTTCTAGGTGACATGACAGCTGAATGGCACATGCGTTCCGCTTTTCCCAACAAATACATTAAGTTGAAAATACCTGGCTATTTGGCTCGAGGGGGGGGGACAATTAAATCACATTATGTAAAGAAAAATTTCAAATTTTCAATCACTATATTTCTTCTCTCGTATGAAACAAGTAGTCAAGTATTATATGACTACCCTTTATGGAATGCTATGCCCACTCATAAAGAGGAAGCAAATCTTTTCCACGTTAGGTAGAAAAAATACTTCTTAAAACGTACCTAAAACTTCAATTTTTACTATAAAATTGCTGAAAGTGTTAAAAGAACACATTTTGATCCTAAATAGCTGAAGGTAGAAATATAGAGAAATTCTTATTATTCAATTCATTAGAATCGGTTTTGGATTTTATAAAAATTACTGGTGCTGGTTGGTGTGAAGAGTTTTCCAGGAAAAAATTTAACATTTTTTCATTATAATTTAAGTACAATTTCTTATTTATAACATGCATAATAACAAACCATTAAAGTTGAATTTAACTTACCATGTAATTTACATGTTTCCTACTATACTCCTGTTTCTCAATTATTTCACTGGGATGATCACTAGGAGTACAACTGTTTTCCAGAAGTTTTATTCATTTATTTTTCCCTGCCCAGGATGCTCCAAATCTGTAAGAATACAATAATGATGTTATTACATCATTACAGGCTGAAGTATGAAACAATATCTTTCAGTTTTAAGTCTTATGATACTGGAAAAAAAAACAGATAAGTTGCGGGATGAGGAAAGAAGCACGGAATGACACAGGGAAGGGGGGGTGTTCAACTGATTTACGCCTACGAAACATGCGCCTTTCGCAAAACTTTTAATGTTATTACATATGCATCTATTACACTATCTGTGCACATAGCCCTAAGCAATTAAGCCTCTTGTATTTACTAAATTCCAGCTATAAGAAACTAAACGGAAAATTATGCCGAGAAGATGCATTTATTTTTATTTTTCATAATCTTACAATATGGTACAACAAGCAAACTTAGTACGCTTTCGAAATTATTACAACAGATAGCTGTCTTTTACATGATTTTGTGTGTGTGTGTTGATTAAACTTTCTTAAAATCGGCACTACTTGCTGTATTCCAGAGGTTCTCAACCAGTGGTTGGAGGTACGCAAGAGAAAAATAGGTGGCATGGAAAGAAACAAAGTATTTTTAACTATTAAATTCAAAAATTAAAACCCCAACATCCTGATTGAGTTTTTATCTAACACTCGTAAATTTATGCGATCTGAAAGCTTTGTTCAAGAGTGGCGGTGATAGTAGTACTTTGTAGTGGTAGTACTAAAGGTTTTCAGTTTTTGTTTAGATGATACGCATTAGTCAAAAGGTTGAAAACCGCTGCTGTATTCTGTTAGTTTCCAAGTTCATAAAAATACTTAAAAAAATTTGTTAGAATTGTTTTCATATATTATTACAATTTATTTACAGAGCTTTCCAAGTTAAAAAAATTAATACGATTAATGTTTTAATGAAGCGAATAGTTTAAATTGGTAATTGGTTGTAGAAACGATAAAACTAGCCAAAAATATAAAGCATATGGCTTAATCAGAGGGTGGAGTTGAACCTCATTCAACATATAATGCAACCGTCTCAGCACACAAATCAACGGCAAATGCTAGAAACTGTCATAACTTTATTTTTTGGTATTTTGTTGGCAACATACCTAAAATGACTGTTTCTAAGAATGTCAGACCGTACACGTACAGCACAAAAAGGATATGCTGGCATATGGACATCAATTAGTTTTAAGCCCTACTCTTCGTGGCTTGATAACAATTACTTGACCAGTTTAAAGTTGACTTGTGAGAAGCAAGGTCGATACCAGCAATCTTTGAGCAATTTTCACACTGATACGTATCATGGCAGATTATATATCTATGTATTCAGTGCCGTATACTACGTATACAATAAAAAATTCATTTAACATTACTTAAGCATACTTAACAAACGATGAGAAAACTACGACGGCAGCGAGAAATGCTAATGATATTGTAATATCATATTAAGCATACAAATTTTCAACGTTGGTGCTAAAGAGCTCTATAACATGCTGATAGTCCTAAATAGTCAGGGAAGGGGGGGGAGATAGTGGCGTGTTGAAAAACAAGCAAGCAATGTGAGAACGCTTGAAAAATTTGGTTGCTAAATGCTTTTTGAACAAACATTTAATACTAGAACTGTCGCGGCGGTCAAATTGACCACTGGGCAGCACCGCATCTTTGTCTTAGATATAACATTAACTTTGAAAGTGAAATTCTACAAATTTTCCTAAAATGCTGGATTATGAAGAATATAAAATTTAAGTTTAAGTTATCAAATCGAATAAAGGATTTACTCTCTTAATTTTTTTTTTTTTTTTTTTTTTTTTAATTTTGGATTTTAGATACTCATTTTTTTTAAAAAAAGGCGTTAATAATCTCTTTTTAGTGCGGGATGAAGATTATATACACATATATTTGACACTAATAAACCACGGCAGGAAATATAAACAATGCGAATGGTTAGAGTTTTTTGGCGGCAGACTTTCAATTCATTAATCATAGCTGTTAGTCACCATTTTATGCACAAACTTTTTTAGTAACATTTATAATTTAGGAACCAACCGTAACATAATGGTGGTGTATGGAAATCTTCTTTGAAAGCAAATTACGCATAGTTGCATACATGTATGTGAATACACCTTTTGTAGTATTAGTCCAAGCTGTACGCAGGCGCGCTTTTTCAAATCCAAGGGAGCATACAAAATGCGAATTAAAGCGGTCGACTTGCGGTCGTGCAAAAATTCTCAAATCATAATCTAATACACGCGAGTAGCATGGTTTCTTCAATATATGGCACTGTGCATGCTTTGACAAGAATCTGAGCATGCTTTTTTCCCTCGCTGATCACTATAAGCGCATTAAGTTTTAACCGTGAATTATTCTGTTTCTGTATTATATGAAAAATTTTAATTAGTAATTCATTAGAATGCAAAAAATAATTAAGACTATTTCAACGCATTAAGACAGCGCCGACAGATCAAATTCAAAGAACATATTTCATTTTCTCAAAGGTAGGAGGAGATGCTAAAAAAAGTCATCAAAAAGAGGGCAGTGAGCCAAAAAAAGATTGGAAAATTATGGTATAAAACTACTGTCATTTTTGATAGGTATAGCATTATCTTAATACAAAATAAACTATAACGATAATAATTATAGAATAAATGTACACAAACAGATTTAAAAGAGGGCATAACATAATCTCTTTTATACCGAAATTCTTCCGTCAAAATGTTAAAACATGATATCAAGTACAATATAAAATCAGTAAAATGAGTAAATAGTGCATTGAATGCCATTTGGAGACTTACCAGGAGATATTTATTAAGTTTAACATTCACAAAAAAAAAAAAAAAAAAAAAAAAAAGTATTTAAAGGGGGCTTATTACATGCGCTTTTTCCAGCTTGCACAGAAATTTGATAATGCAGATAAAAATGGGGAACATTTTGTTGTTAATAACTAGTGGTGAAGTAAATGGAACACTTCTGCAAGCTCCATAGCTGAAATATTAATGAATTTCAGATACTGCGTTTTTCAAAAGCATGATTAATGAGCTACCAGGTGGGTTAGCGTTTTACGAAGTGATACGAGTACATAAAGTGTATATTTTGAATGTGTAGTGAATCTCCAGTTATTACAGTTCTATAGCACGAAATTTAACCTTCAAAATCATTAATAATATGTGTTTAAAAATGTAGGAAATATGGGAATTTCTACAATACTACATTTCTGTAAAGAGTACTCGATTTTTTAAAATAAATGTGCACGGTCCACAAATAAACTTAATAAAAATATTCACCAGTGTAATGATAGCATAAGTGCAGTCAAAATGACTGTCTGCGAGACAAAGTGAGTGTCAACAGATTAAGAATCTTAAGAACTGCTGTAAATACAGGCAAAGCTGCAGAAACTAGTACGGTTTACGGAAGGAGAAAAGTTTTAAAAAAATGAACTGTACTCTCGCTGGGATTTCGAACCACGGTTCTTCCATAGCTAGCTCACTGTGTTAACCACTTACACTACAACAACACGCAAGGGGAGATGCGATAATTACTTATATTCCTTCCACTTGGACGACTGGGAAAATAATACGAGACTCGCTCGACGAAATCCAAGTAATGACAAAATATCATCAATCACATTTTTACATTCGACGCCACTGTAGAGATTCATTGTCGATATTAAGGTAGTCGGAGCCGGGAAACATGAAAAATCAACGGAGCTGTAGTCAGAATTTGAATCACCGATCTTTCATTTACTAGCTGGATGAACTATAACCGCTGACAACACAAGAGTATACGTACAGGTGAATGCTATAATTCCTTGTCGAATGAAGCAAATCATAAATAATAATGAAACTGAAATAGCTAAACTAACATCTATTCAGTTTAGTTAATAAGTCCATTATTAAACATCAATAAAATATTGCATGTTTGTCGATATACCCCGTTTTGAGTAAAAATTGAAATATGCGTGGGAAAGAAAGAAGTCTTTCTTTAAATCAGTTCACCCACTGCTTTGGATAGATAGATAACGAATTTATTTTTCCAAATTCCTTAGTTATACCACTTGGAAGATTTCTAAGCCATGATAACGATGTTTATAACGATGTTTTGTTTGATTACAAAATTAGTACGCAATGCATAAAAATTAGACTAAACAACAACCTTGTGATTGGCGGAGAGGTTTTTTTTTTTTTTTTCCCCCTAATTTTTATGTTTTACTTTGGCGTGTTTCTCTTCTCTAATTAAGAAACGCTTGCTAAGTTCAGTCACAAATTTTTATACTGAGATGAATATGTAATGTATTGAAAAGATACAAATTCCACTGAAAGGAAAAAATAACGACCAAGATGAGAAATGATTTGAATTTTCAGAACTTTTATTTTGTATGCCAAGACAAATTCAATAAACCAATGTTACTACAGTATTGTTCCCAATTTTTTTAGATCCAGCTTTCTCTTGCCTTCAGGGAAGCTCAGTTTTATTCCGAGTAAAGTGTTGCTCTATTTTCTTCTCTTCAACAGGGCACTGAAGCATAATCGATACACAAATTACGCCCAAAGGCCCTCTTAAACTTCGCAGTTTGCACCGAGATGGTAATGAGACGGGTAGAGAGAAGAATTAATTTTGGTATACCGATTATTTGCAAATTCTTATTTAGTGAAACTCCTCTTGCCACGAGAAATATTATTACAATAATCTTATTTTTGCGTATCTTTATAATCTTATCTTCGTTATGTCGATCATCCGAGTAAATTAAAATAATTACTTTTACTAGGACATGAAAGCATATCCATAAATGTCCGAGCAACGTAAACCCTAATTACTAGTTAAGTATTTACTTTTTGTTTACTTCTCTCATCCTTTCTTTTTTCTTTTTTAAATTTGTTAGAAGATCAAAGCTAATGCATTAAATTCAAGTTGAAAACAAACCTGTCAATTATTATTATTATTATTGTTTTATAAAAGCTGGCAGCATGATCTGGATACAGGAAGGAGCAAAAACTCCGAACACTGATAGCAAATGAAGAAAATAAAAACTGTAATTAACGGTTTCAGCCCAGTTCG